CAATATCACAGAGCAGTTCGACGTGTTTCGGAACACATTTTTCGAGAAAACCGATTATTCAACCCTGTTCAAAGCACATCGACTGATGAGTCGGTTGTTCGTCGAACGCTGCCTGTTGGCAGTCAACGATCCCATGATTAAACACCACCTGACGCTGGTCCGTTATGACGTAGTGATTGGTCAGAGTTTCGACTTATGTGCTTACGCGTTGCAGTCGATGACGAACAGCCGTAAATTTGTAGCCGTCGCCGCCGGAGTGTACGTGTTGCCGTTCACAGGTCTAGCGGCCGGTGTTCCGGACAATCCGAGTTTCATTCCTCAGACGATGACGACGTACAGCGATCATATGTCTTTTGTCAAACGTCTGGCAAACTCTGTGATCGCCTCCGTCATCAGAGTTTTAGTTCGAACCAAGCTGTTAAAATATCAGTGCGAGATGATGCGGAATGTTTCTCGTAGCATCGACGACGCCTGCTGGTCGGTCATGAAAACAACGACAGCGCTGATGCTCAACGGAGATGGTCCAATCGACTTTCCACGACCGTTGGTTCCGCGAATGTACTATATGAGTGACCTGGAGATAGAAAGTCAGGTGGTGCTGAGTAAGGTACGATACCCTTTTTGGCACTCTTACTCACAAGGTGCATTCTTTTGCCCTACATGAATGCTCTTTCATACCAGACACCTCAGAAGGTGAAAAACATGAGACATTATTTAGTTTTTCCTACTTGTTTCGTCTTTTTTCAAGAAAGAAAAAATTTTTCGTCATGTATGTAGCATGACCCACGTTAGGTGCCTCTTCGATATGATACTGAGATATTTCACGCAAAATCCACCGTTACCTATCCCAAACCCGGATGACAAAAGAAGAGGGTTAGAGGCAGTGGTCAGATCTCCCGTAAAACTTAGCCACTCTCATGCTATTGCCATCCTCGAACGGAACTGAGGCAGGTTGCTATAAGTCAGTGATCAGAATCCGCTTCACACCATCCGGCATCTGCGGAGGGAGGGGGGGTAGCAGCAAATGACTGCTGCTGAAGATCAACAAAAAGACGACGAAGACGACTAATCAGCTATGGAGCTGCAACTCGTTTTGAACGGAAAAGGCAAACACCGCGATTTCATTGCAGTACATTATATAAGGCTCCATGGGAACAATGAGGCCGAAGGATACCGACTGTATCTATCTGAACTTTGGTCAGCGAAACGCCAGAACTGTGGAATTCTGAACTCTATGAGTGAAGTTGCTCTACTCGTGTCAATTCTACCATATGCTCAGAGTCCGATGTTCGTGTTATGGCAGAGTCCAATCTGGCTGTAAGCTTGTCAGCGGAAGTCGGTCCGCTTAAAGTTAAACAGACTAAAGCTTTCACCATTTGCAGGCATATGCATCCAATTTAGTGAGAGAACATAAGTACTTAATAGACGAAGTAGAGGGTAATCTGCTGCAAGTTTTACCGAAGAAAACAACATTCCAATGGGTCGCTTCACTGGCCCACGTCAGAACAGACACTGAGAAGTGGAAAAGCAC